CACCTGCGTGTCAGGACATCCTGGTTTTCCTGACTGGTCAGGAAGAAATCGAAGCAATGACCAAAACCTGCCGAGACATTTCCAAGCATCTCCCCGAGGACTGCCCACGGATGACAGTGTTGCCTCTTTATGCTTCTCTGCCCCACCCTCAACAACTCCGTGCCTTTAAACCCACCCCTGAGGTGAGGGAATGTGCTGGGTGAACAGGAGAAGTTTGTTTGCTTGCCTGACTGGAAGAAACGTGTGGAATTTAAGGGGTTAGAGCAATCTGTACTGACAGTAATAGTCCCAGCTGTCCACTGACTTTAGGCTGAACGGGTCTGGTGTGATGTAAGACAACACAACTGTGATGGTATGAACAGATGCATCTGATCATGAAAAGAAGGAAAGATTAGAGGCAGTCCAAAGGGCAGAGAAATCGAAATTTGCCCCATTTCATAGGAATTTTATGTCCATATCACAAAAAGCTACAACAGTTAATGGGGGAAATACTAAGACAGCTGAAAACCTGGACATGTTTGTCAGGGCTGTAAGAAAAGGAAATTGAGCTGCCTCAAGCTCTTGTGCCTCTTCAGCAGATAAATAAGAATACAGATGTTGTGCCAGAAATGAAACCAAAATCGTTTGATATATTGATAACAGCTGTTCTGGTGGTGGGTTTTGTTGCAAGTGTAAGCACATGTTTTAGAAACCTATTTGAAAATAGAGATTATTTTAATTTATGAGAGCTGGCAGAGCAAGCACAGTGTGTGGTCACAATGTGCTGCAGGGGTAGGTAGGCTTGGCCTACACTGGCCAAAAGCAGCAGCATTTCTTTGTTGCAGCTACTCTGAGGTGGGTTTTTAACTTGTCCTTCCTTGCAGGGCTGTCGCAAAGTGATCCTCTCCACCAACATTGCAGAAACCTCCATCACCATTTCAGGGATAAAATACGTGGTGGACACAGGAATGGTCAAAGCCAAGAAGTACAGCCCTGGTGAGGAATTCTGAGGAACAGCACAGAGACTGGGTTTGGGTTTGGACAAGTTCCTGGAGGCCATGAGCTCCACTGAGAGTAGATTTCAAACACCCTCTGCGCTGTCTGAATTAATATTGCCAGTTTTAGGTGTGTGGTTTGATGGTGGGTTTGTGGTTGGTTTTTTTGTTTGTTTGTTTTGGGTTTTTTTGTTTGTTTTTTGGGGGTTTGTTTGTTTGGTGGTTGGGGTTTTTTATTACTATCAGCCATGTGGGGGTAAAAATCTGTCAAATACGAATCATCTCTTCGCAGACACAGCGCGGGATAATCTGCTGTGCTTCAGGAGCTCAACCAAGTGAACTCTGAGCAGTATTTGGATGGCAAAAGTTTTATTGTTAATGCTCCGTGTTTTTCCAAGCTGTGCATTGACTGAAGTGATGCTTTTCCATGCACAGACACTGGTCTGGAGGTGCTGGCAGTGCAGCAGGTGTCCAAGGCCCAGGCCTGGCAGCGCACGGGCAGAGCGGGGCGGCAGCAGAGCGGGATCTGCTACAGGCTCTACACAGAGGAGGACTTTGAGAAGTTTGATGAAATGACAACACCTGAGATACAGAGGTGAGGACAGAACTCGCCACATCTCTTTGCTGTACTTCCACAGCTGGAGCTGTGTGCAGAACTGAGCAGCAAAACTGGATCTAGGGGCTGTCTGGGTGACTTTTAAGAAAAATGAAGTGTGGAGACTAAACAGAAAATCTAGGAATTGTTTGCTCAGGGTGGACAGATGGGCACTGAGTCTCCAAACACACAGGGCAATAGTTCTCTTGACTGTCCTCCAAATCTTGGACTCACCTCTTCCTGGTTTAGGAAGTAAGGCTTCACCAGCAGCATAAGACTAGTCTCTTTGTCAAGTTGCAGCACACACCTGAGGACTCTTCCTCAGCTAATAGGCAAATAAAATTTAAAAAGAATTTAAAAAAAACTGAAGAGAACCATCCCAGTTGTTTTTTCTGCCTCTGCAGGTGTAACTTGGCCAGTGTGGTGCTTCATCTTCTGGCCCTGAAAATTCCCAACGTTCTCACCTTTGATTTCATGTCCAAACCATCCCCTGGTAAGTGGTTACAAAGGCAGCCTTGGGGGTAAAAAGAACAGGGAGCAGTCTTGAGTCATAAAGAACAAGAAGATGTGTCTTCACTGCCAAGGGAAACCAGGGTATATTGGAAACAGTGATTGTTCTCCTGATAGAGGAGGATAAACCACATTTTTTGACTCTTTAATTTTTCTAAATGGAAAGTGCTTGTCCCTCTGGCCAGGGGAAGAGGCAGTGGTGGTACCAGGTGATCCCTCCCATCCATCAGTGAGAGGCAGGAGACTCACAGCCCCAGTGTCCTTGTCTTGGCAGATGCCATTCAAGCAGCGATTGATCAGCTGGACCTGCTGGGAGCTGTGACACAAAAGGAAGGGCAGCTTGTCCTGACCCCCCTGGGAAAGAAAATGGCAGCCTTTCCTCTGGATCCAAAGTTCTCTAAGGTAAAAACTGCAGACAGATTAACTGATGTTTGTCTCATGTACTCATCTCGGTACTGTTGGCATTTCTCTTTCGAACTCCTTAAACAAGGTGTGGAATTTGGGTTCTCTGGAGCTGTCCTGTTGTATTTGCTGTACATTAATGCACATTATTTACAGCCCTCCTGTTGGTTTGCTTGTCATTTGTTGTTTAATTCAGGGAGGTTTCTTGAAAGAGAATTGTTTTTCTCTGGCACCTCTGAAGCTGAAAGGAGGCGAATTTCCTTGCAATTTCCAGGATTGTTTAGCAGGTCCATGAAGTGTCTGCTGCTGTAGCTGATTTCAGTCACCACGTTTGCACTGAATATGCACTGGCCAGTCTCAGGAAGGAGCATGGCAGTTGCTATTAAAGATTCTTGGTGGGCCTATAGAAGGATTTACAGTCGTCCCTGGGCCCAGATGTTTATGGAATTGTCCTGAGCAATGTTTGGTAAAGTTCCTGGCTTGCCAGGGAGGAGAAAAGTCTGCCCATCTGAAGTGAATTTGGTTGACCCAAAGTGAGTTTTGTGGTGTGACTTGCAGGCCATCCTCCTGTCCCCCAAGTTCCACTGTGCCGAGGAGATCCTGACCATCGTGTCGCTGCTCTCGGTGGACAGTGTCCTCCACAACCCCCCTGCCCAGAGGGATGAAGTGCAAGCTGTCAGGAAGAAATTCATCTCCAGTGAGGGGGATCATCTCACCCTGCTCAACATGTACAGGGCCTTCAAGAATGTCAACGGACACAAGGTGGGATGTTCTGAGGTTGCCGGTGCTGTCTGGGCTCGTGGGGGTGAGGAGCTTTGGGCACAGAACAGAGGGACACCTGCATCCTCCCTGGCTGGTGCAACAGGCATCCCCCAAAGCTGTGAGAAAAGAGGACTCATCCTTTACAAGTGGGGAATTGGAGGAAGCTGTTTAGTGCCAGAGGTTCCTACAGAAAGCTGTAGTTGGTTATCAGAGCTTTTTGAGGCCCGTTCTGTAATCAGAGACAGGTTCCTTCCCTCGTTCCAACTGGAAACAGGAGGAAGAGTGTTGAGACTTGATAAATACCTAGACATGCTCTGTGACAGAATTGACTGCAAAATACTGAGCATATCTACCAGCAGGTTGGGATTTATCCCGCCCTATCAGCTCAGTTTGATTTGTGGATCTGTGGACTCGTGTACCCCATTCCTTGCGGCATCTGTCACTGTGACCTGATTAGCACTGTGGGAGGGAATCTAAAAAGAGGGGAGTAATCAGGGGTAGAAATATGACAAATTGTATGGGGGATCCTGCTTTTGCTGGTATCCAAAGGCTGTCATGCTGCTGGGGTGAAGAAATGTCCCCTTCTAACTGCTGGTGTCTCCACTGCAGGGATGGTGCAAAGAGAACTTCATCAACGGCAGGAACATGAGGCTGATGGCAGAAGTCAGAGCTCAGCTCAGGGACATTTGTGTAAAGGTAACTTGCTGCCATGCTGTGTTTCTGTTTCACCTGTTTGTATTTTCCTGTTTGTCCCCAAACTGATGTCCCTGTGCACCGAGTCCTGGGAGTAAGAAAATGTGGGTTTGTTTTCAGTCTTCCAGGAATAGTCAGGTAAAACTTCTGACTGTGGAGTTGCATCCCAAAATCTGAAAGCTGCAGGGCTTAACGGGTCGAGGAGAGGTGAAGAAAGAGGGGGAGCTCTGGGAAGGCTTCTTAGGGAAAATGCAGGGTTGATCCTTGTGGGTCCCTTCCAGCTTGGCATATTCTGTATATATATTCTGTGGTTCTGTATATCTTGGCCAGACCACAGAGCTGGGATGCATTCAAGGGGAAGAAACTGGATTTTTTTTGAGGCCTGTGACCAGAAAAGGATAATTTGAGGAAGGAACATGCCCCAGAGACCCTCAAGAGACCCCTACTCTTAGTGCAAATGAATAAATAAGTAAAAGAATTCATGTTTTTGGTGGCGCTGTGTCTCTCCGAGCAGCTGTCGGTTCCTCTGGAGTCATCCCGCTCGGACACGGGGAACATCCGGCGCTGCCTGGCCCACAGCCTGTTCATGAACGCGGCGGAGCTGCAGCCGGACGGCACCTACAGCACGGTGGACTCGCACCAGGCCGTGGCCATCCACCCCTCCTCGGTGCTGTTCCAGTGCCGGCCCTCCTGCGTGGTGTTCAACGGGCTGCTCCGCACCAACCGCTGCTACATGCGGGACCTGTGCCTGGTGGATGCCGACTGGCTCTACGAGGCTGCTCCCGACTACTTCCGCAGGAAACTCCGGACAGCCAAGGACTGACCCCTGGCTCTGCAACCAGCAGGCTCAGGGCTTCTAGTTTTGCCTTAAAAGACTGATTCTTTTTTTTTTACTTTCTAATGAATGTACGTATGCGCGCGTTTTATTTAGGCGGGGTAATTTCAGTGTATTTATTTAGGACGGATTTCTATATTTTTTCCTGCAGGGTAAAGAAGTTGCTGCAAGAATCCGAATCCTGTGTGTTGTTTTTGTGAGATGCAAAAGGTGTGTGGATGAACAAACGATGGTGGGGCAGTCAGAGGGACCAACCCTGGTGGTTTCAGTTCTGAGGGAGCGTGTTCATCGTCAGCAGTGTGGGGTTAAAGAGGTGTGGATGTGGGTCAGTGAATCTGTGCTCTGAGTGCAGGATGGGCTCTGCCATTACATGTGCAGTGTTCAAACACCTGGGTGCAGCTGGAAGTTTAACATTCCAGTCCTTTGCTGTGGTGGGACAATCCTGATGGGATGTGGTGGTGGGACAATCCTGATGGGATGTGGTGGTGTCACAGTCCCGATGGGATGTGGCGGTGTCACAGTCCCGATGGGATGTGGTGGTGTCACAGTCCCGATGGGATGTGGTGGTGTCACAGTCCCGATGGGATTTGGTGGTGTCACAGTCCCGATGGGACGTGGTGGTGTCGCTGCTCTCCTGCTCCAGCCTTGCAGAGAGCAGCAGGAGGGCCTTTTGTGCTTCTCAACAGCCTTTGGACAAAGGGAATGCTTTATGCCAGGAGACATCGCCTTGGTCAACCTTCCCTCTAAAATATTCATTGCTAAAGGAGCAAAAAAAAAAAAAACAAACCCCAAA